GGATCCATCCTGCCTTGTATCAATGGTTCAGGCTGGTGGTGGTGGTGTAATGGTGTGGGGGATGTTTTCTCGGGGCACTTTGGGCCCATTAGTACTAATTGAGCATCGAGTCAATGCCACAGCCTACCTGAGTATCTAATCATGCCCATCCCTTTATGACCACAGTGTACCCATCTTCTGATCCAGCAGGAAAACGCGTCATGTCATAAAGCATTAATCATCTCAGACTGGTTTCTTGAACATGACAATGAGTACACTGTACTCAAATGGCCTCCACAGTCACCAGAACTCAATCCAATAGAGCACTTTTGGGATGGGGTGGAATGGGAGGTTTGCATCATGGATATGCAGCTGACAAATCTACAGCAAGTGCGTAATGCTATGCCAACATGGACCAAAATATCTGAGGAATATTTCCAGTACCTTTGTTGAATCTACACAAGGAAGGATTTAGGCAGTTTTGAAGGCAAAAGTGGGTCCAACCCCGGTACTAGTAAGGTGTGCCTAATAAAGTGGCCAGTGAGTGTATGTATTGTCTATATTCACTAAGAAATTAAATTCTCATTTTCTAAGCAGGTGCACTCATTTATGCTGTGTGCTGTTTATATAGATATTAATTAATCTTTGTTTCTGACACTATTTTACTGCAGCTGTCCGAGCTAAAACCTTTCCTACCTCAAATGCGTCCTTCATCTCTGCTAAAAAGCCTCAGCTCTGCAAGGGGAAGCGAGGATTGCGACGCCACCCTAGACCAACAAGTGAGTGCAATTCATCTGAGGCCTGAGAGCTATTGGATCATTACATTTTTAATATCCAAGAGTGATATAGTAAAACCACTTAGAGTTTAATAAGCTGATAAACGATCTTCTTTCATACAGGCATATTACCTCTGCTACAGCCTTTTGACTTTGACGAATGAAGCCTCCAATTTTGAGTTCTTACCCTCAGCCCAGAGAGTAAGTGTTCAATTTCTGTGCTTATATAATTTTAGATTAAAGGAGGGAATCTTTAGTTTGATTCAATTTCAGTGAGTCACAATCTGATCCCAAGACATTTCCTAATGCATCTTCATTTTCATTGTCATGTTTTTTTTATAATTTCACATAATGACTTATTTCTCTATTTGAAAAGAATTTCTAATTTTACATTGATTGTGATTATTTTGTAGGGGACTGAATCTGCATAAAATATAATAAACAAATTACAAGCATAAAATAAATAAATAGAATAAAGCCACAAATAAAATAAACAGTGCTTTAGGGTTTTTTTTTTAGAGAGTATAACAGTATTAAGATACAAAAATTAAATAATCAAATGTTAAATAATACTGTATACAGTAGTCAAAATTTGAAGTGGATTAATTCTTTCATCAGAGTTGTCCTAAAAATATTCAACAACATCCATTCATGTCTAAAGCTAATTTGAAAAACGTTTTTGATCCACCTCAGTGCTTCCCACAGGTTTGAAATTTACTTGCGGTGGTAGCTGGGTTGAAACACACCTCTTACCCACATTACATAAAAAGTATTTATCCGACAGTAGTTACTATATGTGACAAAACAAAACATAATTCTATTTTGAACACATTTTTTATTATTATCTCTTTTATTTTTTTTCCTTTTAATTGTTTTAAATAAAAAAGACTGGTAAAATAAATGTAAAAAAATCCACTGTTTCTCTTTTATGCTATTTAGGAGGCACCCACTGACAGGTAAAATCCGTCATTCAAGTTCAGGTTGCTTTATTGGCATGACTTTTTGTACAGTGTTGCCAAAGCATGTTAGATGTATAAAATACGTAATACATGGACATCATCACATTAATAAAATATACACAAAATGAGAAATAAATTACAGAAAAAGGGACAAGAACAGACAATACCTCTCAAAATTATAAGAAGAATAAAATGTGTATTATTTAAATAAGACGAATGAGTTGGTTGACCATTTCTAATGTTGTACAAATATTCTGCAGCCAATTTAGATGTTATTTTGTCCTCTCCGAGTGTTTAGACCAGTGGTCACCAAACTTGTTCCTGGAGGGCCGGTGTCCTGCAGATTTTTGCTCCAACCCTAATCAAACACACCTGAACAAGCTAATCAAGGTCTTACTTGGTATACTTGAAACATCCAGGCAGGTGTGTTGAGGCAAGTTGGAGCTAAACCCTGCAAAGACACCGGCCCTCCAGGACCGAGATTGGTGACCCCTGGTTTAGACTTTTTTCTGAGTCATTTAGATTAAAGAATTATTTATTTAATGTGTCTCTCGCTCTTGCGGCTTTGCGCATAAAATTAACGACAGCTTATAATATAAAATAAAAGCAAAACCAAATCCTGGACATTTTATAAGATTTAGAAACCCAGGCCAGACGCAAAAAGGTGCAAAAACAGTCACTGTGGGACTGCAGAGAGATTTCGCGCTACTTAATTGCTCGTGGATGCTTATTTATATTAGGCGTATACATAAAATGTAAAAGGATGATAATAATAGTAAAAAAAAAAAACGTGTCACTAATATATACGTGGGCAGCTGTTAATACTGTATACCTGGGCGGCCTGCCCAAGTAAAGTCTATGGGCCCTATAACACACCCAGTGCCATAAGGAGCAAGATGCGTTTCTACGACGTGTTGCTATTTTCGGACCAGCGCAAAACCAATTTTCCCGTTTTCCACCACGTTAAACTAGTAAATCCATTTGCGCCACTTTGTGGACTCATGGGTGTTTCGGTCTAGATAAGAGGTGTGTTAAGGCGCATTATTGGCGCATTGCTATTTTGAGGAACTATAATGGGCTTTTTCAGTTTATTCATGACAATTTGGTTTTGCATAATGTTATTATTAGTAGTACTTTTGTTTTCTTGTATGCACATTTATATTTGTTTTATTTTAAAAAAAGCTTAGATTTGCCCACCAGTCAGGTTTTAGACCATATGGGGCACAGCATGTGTATTTGGATATAACTCAGTTGTTTGACCACACTTTGTTATTACTGTTCATTTATTAGATTGCTGGAAATTAGAACGTAATTTACAAATGAAACAAACGGGATGGCGATGGAGCAAGTGCCTGCTGAGAGGGGTACCTCAGCCACTGAGGGCAGGTAGGCAGTGGTTCTAGCCACCGGGCCACCCCCCTGTGTACAGCCCTGCCTATTTGTTTGGGAAGCACTGAATCTTAAATGTTGACTACTAAAATCTTCATTATAGAAATAAATACAATAAATCTTTGCTAATTGTTTGTTTGCAAAATGTAGAATTTCTAGTGCCCAAATGGTTTAATTTTGCTTGAAATTGAACATAATCACATACCCTAAATCAGGGGTGCTCAACCCTGTTCCTGGAGATTGATCTTCCTAAAGAGTTCAGCTCAAACTCTGATCAAACACACCTAAATCAATTAGTTAGGACCTGAACAGCACTTGATAATTACAGGCAGGTGTGTTTAATATGGGTTGCAACTGAAATCTGCCGGAAGGTCGATCTCCAGGAACAGGGTTGGTCACCCCTGCCCTAAATCATCTTTCACTCTTTTAGGGTTAAACGTTATTCTGATCTGTGTTTTCTGGCTAATTACAATCCCAACTCGGCTTTTTAGATCCTACGATGTGACTTTCACATTGCGATATCGGTGCTAAAACAATATACTGTGTGCAGTCCTAAGTGGAATAGTTAATAATGTTTTAAGAAGTCAGATTATGATTTTTTTGTGGATTGATCCAGATGAGCTGTGATCCTCTGAATAGATTTAACAGTGCGGCTATTAAGAATCAGTGTTAATGAATCAGTTACAGAGAGACCCTGTCCTTGGACACTGCCCCAGTCTGTCCTCTGGTACCACTCTCACCCTCAGGGACCAATTATGAACATTACTAATTTTACTGCAAGAAGAGAAGGCAGTCTTTGAGTAGGAGGATTTTACAGGTCAACAGGGTGATGCCTTTCTTTCTCTTTCTTCATCTTAGATATGATCAGTGCCATTAATTATTCTTCTGATGATCTTAATACAGTTTATGTCAGTATTTAAAGGTTTTCTTGGAAATTTATCTCACAAAAATACCACTGGATGTAAATGCTAACATGTGCATTTACGTATATGTACTGTATACAGTATATTAAGGCCAATTCACACTGCACAGTCAAACGGAAACAAAGACCAACAGACAAGTCTGTCAGAGGTTGTCGGAGGTTTGCTGTTTGTTGCTGTTGATCAGCGTTTGTTTCCATCCAAACAAACATGTTAAATCTGCATTTGTCGGATTGGGGAACTTCTGAGTTAGGATGTACAATAATGGAAAAATCTAACATTGTGATATTTAGTTTTGCTGCGATTAAATATTGCAATATAAATATAATTTTACAAGTTGATTTGAATAACTCTATTTGGAACGATTTCATTAATTTAGATCAACTTGGATGATGAAGTGATTTTCTATGCAGTGTATTTGCATAAATGTAATAATTTACAAGCATTTATAAATATTGATGGGTGTCCGCGAGGTTTTAAAAAGTTTTAAATGTTGATAAATCAATGTAGAGAAATGTAAGGTCCTTAAAAAGTATAAAGAAGTCTTACAGTAAATGCTAATTTGCAAGGTATTCAATTTTGTATCATTTTTGATTATTAAATGTATGGTTGTATTCTAAAGTTTGCCTGAATTAAATCTGCGAATATCAGGCTGCTGTGTAGTTTATGAAATCAACAAAATCCTACTAGGTTTGACATCATGCTGATTTGTTTACTGCAGTAACCAAGGCATCATTATTATTTCTGCAGTTCTACAGGCGTCCCCTGCTGAATTAGCTACATTTAATAGATTTGTATTCAGTATATGAATAATGTTTTAGTTGTGGATTAATTTCCTACGTTAATATTTAGTAAATATACTGCAAGTTAAAATCTCACCACTGAAAAGTTGTTTCAAGGTCGTAAAATGTATGGAAGGAGTCTTAAAAAAGGTCTTATAAGGTTTTGAATTTTACTCTCTGATTCTTATATATAGC